AAATAAATTAGAGAGCAATTCTGCTGCACACAAGCTACGATGTCGAGAGACTCTATCTCTGTTGACAACTGCCAAAAGTTATCAATTCAGTCGGTAGATTTCGACTGCATCGCTTTCACTGTGATTTTCTATTTCAAGTACTTTAAAAGACATAATCAGAGAGAATAACAGAACAGAGAACGTTTTCAAGTCCAAAACTCATTTTTTCCCCTTGTGTAGCTTCTGGTGTCGAATCTGGACTTGTGTTTGAAAAAAGAACGTGCATTGATCGATCAATTTCCAATGTTGGAAGATTATCCTCCTGTTTTCAGAAGTTTCCTACGTAGTTCTGTAGATCACGTCATGCACATCTTGTAAAAAAGATTACTAAGCAAAAAAAAAGAACAATAACAAAATCCCTGCAAAAAGTCATAATGTCTCCCGACATAAAAACCAAAAATCTCAGCAAAAACACATAATGTCTGTCGGCATAAAAATTGTATGTCTTACTTTTTGATTGATAACGTGAACGACGATGGTGCTATTCAATTATAGTATAAAGTCTATGGAAGAAAAGTAGACAAAAAGATACTCAAAAGACTATTTTGTTAATATAACCTTTATAAATACGTATATATATATATATATATATATATATACGCCTTGTTCTCCCATAAAAACGTGTATTTTTTTTTATTTCTCATTCTTGAGTATGAATTTTTTTTTCATCCTTCTATTTTTCTGTTTATTCTTAGTTAAATGATGTGTGGGTGTTAAATATGCTAAGAAAATGTGTGAGTTATACACAAGAATTATTCATTTCTTTTTCATATATATCGTATAACATTTTTTTATTATTGCGAAATAGTTTAAATTCTTAGATCAAAATGGAAGGTAGAATAATATTGTTTTTGACTCATATTATTCGATGACACATATTTAAATTACGTCGATTTGTACACTTTATCAGATAAATGAAACAAAAAGAACTTTTCTTTTTCTTTTTTCTTCTCAATGGTAATACGTGTAATCGAAGATTTTTGAATTTAAATCATAAAAACAATATACTGACATTATGTGTACATTCATCGTTTTCGCCAATGAGATGTTTGAGAACGAACAAACAACAATTGGAAGAGTGTACGTATGTATGTTTTGAGTAACATATATTACGTGAAAATCGTATGTTCAATACCAAAAATTTAAAACAAAAATAATTTTTGTTTTTTATTTTATTCACACATTCAGTAATGACAAAATGATTACTCTTCCAGTAATTTCAATTTTTCATAGGATATACAATTCACGCATGTAAATTAGAAAAGATTTATTTCTATTCATGCGATCTCATTGTAGAATCTTAAAAGGCACATATTTTTTGTTTATCTCGAGCTTCACAATTTGAAATCTGATACAACCAGTAGATAGAGTTCGTCGAGTTGGTTATACTATCATTGAATAATATTTAGATGAATACTTAATAACGCTTATTAACAGTGCAAACTGTTCAAGAGTAAAGGTGGTAGGGTAAACAGATTTTAGTGGCGAAAATAAGACGCACCAGTCATCTCTTCAACAGATCGGGAAAAACAAGACCTGCCACAATTTTTCTGTTCAACCGTGATAGATCTCTCGTTATTTGTTTGTAATCATTTTTTTAGCTTACAGTAGGATGGAGGGGAGGGGGTGTACGCCCCCTCAAAAATAAAAACTTGTCCTTTCCTCCCAGGGGAAATTAAAATTAACAAAAAAAAGTATTAATAAATAACTTATCTATGAGAATCACTTTAGAATGTTGAGAAAATTAACCGGTATGCGAAAAAATCACGTTCAATGACAGTTCTAATCGAAAGGAACAGTGACAATAATGTAGAACAACTCCTTTTTTTGCAAAAAAACAAACCGACAAACACATTTTTTTTTTTATGTACACAAAACTGAGAAACGTACATAGTTAAAACGATACAACACATTTTATTATGTATAATTTTTAACTAAAAAAATTCTTATTTGCTACCAATCTACATTTTTTAAAAACAAAAAATGAATTTGATCAAAGTGTTAAATTTAATCTTTTAATTCTTCAAATACGGGCCAATTACTTTCTGTATATTTTCCATAATGTGTATTCCACCATTGTATATCATTCTCAACATTATGTTCACTTAATACTTTTTTAAAATCGGTTGACATTTTTGCTAAATTTTCATCATTTGGAGTATAAATTGTATCATGATAATCTTGAAATATTTGTTTAAAATGATTCATTCTTTTTCGTTCAAAATCATTAGTACGTTCTAATACATCATTCATTGATATTTCATATTGTGGACGCATATTTTTCATTTCTTCAATTAATTGTTGATATTTAACTTTTTGACTACTACAATCTTTTTTCAATGTATCAACAGTTAATTTAACATGTTGTTTTTGTTCATCTGTTTTACCTGAATCACTTTGTATAATTTTTTCTGCTTGTTCATAACTTTTTAATTTTTTTGAACTATCTAAATATAATTTTTTTAGCATCATCTATTTTTTGTAATAATTTTAACCAATTTTTTTGTGCTTGTTCAAAATCTTTTTCAAATTCTTTTACTTTTTGTAAATGAATTAATGATCTAGAATAATTTTCTCTACGATAGAGAAGCATTTTATTAATAACATTTTCTTGTAAATTATCTGCCATTTTTACATGAGAATAAGCTTGTTGTTCACCGGTATTAATTAATGCTAAACATGTTTTTTTATTTGTTCCATAATCTTGTGAATGTTGTATTTCTTTTAGCCATGTTAGTGACCATTTTTTTAATTCTGTACTATAATCTCTTTCAATTTTTACTCGATGTTCTAATAATTTAATAAATGATTCACATGAATCATATCCATTTTTACATCGTTCAATTGCAACTTTATATTGTTGTGGTTCATAAAAACCTTTACCATACCAAGGATTTGATAAAATTGTTTCTGGTGTTGTTTGAGGTAAAATACATTGCACTAGAATAAATGAGAAGAATTTTACTTTTTTTTTTAATTCTTTTCTTCTTTGATAAATACAAGAAAAAAAGTAGATTATAATCGCGCTAAACACGAGTTATGATGTCGACAGACTCTGTATATCTTGAACGCTACGAGAATGGAATACTCTAGAGACTAATCCTATCCATTTGGCTTGATTAACTTCGGTTGCAATAAGAAATTTTTCTTTACAAGGGAAATAAAACTTTTATTTGACAGAAAAATGTGCATTGATCAATCTCCAATGTCGGTAAAATATCCTACATTTTTCAGAACTTTTCTAGTTTTCATACTTCTCTAGATCACAAAATGCACATTTTGGCCGAAGAGGGACGAAAGAGATAGAGAGCAATTGCGCCGAGATGTTGACAGACTGTATCCGATCTGAATCTGCCAGAAGGGGGCCGCAGTCAATAGGAAGTTTACCACGTTACATTCGTTGTAATTTTAGTTGCTTTAAAAAATAAATTTATGAAAAATGAATTGAAAACGAAATTTGAAGAAGAAATGGTGTCGGACAACTGAATATACGAAAAAGTTCAAACTTCAAAATACATTTTTCTACCATATTTATGGCATCGAATATGGGCCTTTATTTGAGAGGAAAAAATGTGCATTGATCAATCTCCAATGTCGGTAAAATATCCTACATTTTAAAGAACTTTTCTAGCTTTCATAGTTCTCTATATCACGAAGTGCACATTTTGGCCAAAACGGGAAAAAAGAAGAAAATAAATTAGAGAGCAATTCTGCTGCACACAAGCTACGATGTCGAGAGACTCTATCTCTGTTGACAACTGCCAAAAGTTATCAATTCAGTCGGTAGATTTCGACTGCATCGCTT